TTACCTCTACATCAAATCCATGGTATCATTTTAATCACTGTCTGTCATGACATTTATTTTCCACATGATGGCGCAGTAGCACAAATAAAGCCTCATGATGCTTCGGCCCAGGAACGAACCAATTGGATGTAAAGCCTCATTGCTTCATGAGGCTTCATTTTCCCATAACTATTGTAGACCAGACAGAAAGGCGTCAACGTACCCGTGGTTCAAAGCTTAAACCAAGATAACCAATCACTACCAAGGGGCCGGACCGGGGGCGTGGTATGCAAATATCGGGGACGGTGTTTTTCTTGTATTTCGCATAGGGAAAACAATAAAAGTTCAAACTGGCGGACAGGGAACTCTGAGCGTGATTACCGGGGCAACAACCGTCGTTCGCCCTCAGAGATCCCTCCCGCCGATAATGAAGACAATTAACTTTGTCCAAGTAAAGCTCTGCCAGAAACTAAGGTTCTCTAACATTTCACAAGGACATATTTTTTATAATTGCAGGTCCGGAGAGCGTCAATTCACATGGCATACTTTGAGGTCAAAGTCATCTTAAGGAGGTAAGGTGAATTATTAATGCTTGTGCTCATTGGGGCGATGAAGGGGGACATTTTTAACATCAGAAAAACATCGTTTTGCTGTCATTGGATATAATATGATGAAATTGCTTGAATTTTTAGGTTGGTGGGTTTTTTTGTAAATACTTTTGACCTTGTCCATAGTGTATTTGGACCTCGGGGCTCCAGCGGTTAAGGTGAACCCTCATCAGGTGAGTGACTGTTGACTTATTTCCAAAAACAATCGAGACACTCACCAGCATCTTTGTGATTTACATCTTCTTTCCCTTTCGACTTTTCCTGTTAGGGGTCGCCACAGTGGGTCAATCTTTTCCATCTAAGCTTACTTTCTGCATCCTCCTCTCTAACATTAACTGCACTCATGTCTTCCCTCACCATGTCTACTGTTTCAACCTTCTTTTAAGTCTTTCTCGTTTCAATGCCAGCTCCATGCGCATCGTCCTTCTTCCAGTTCAGTGGTCTCTCGCAAAATTGCGGTTCACAACCTGGTCACTCCTAAAGAGAACCTCGACATCTTCATTTCCGCCACCTCCACCTCTGCATCCTGTTTTTCGCTGGAAGCCGTACATCATGGCCAGCCTCAGCACTGTCTTACAAATCTTACCCTTCATCCGAGCAGAGACCTTTTTGTCACATAACACGTCTGAAAACTTTCTTGCACCAGTTCCAGCCTAATTAGATCACTTTTATTTTCTCACCTCTTTTATTTCAGGTCCTCCGCCCTTGCTACCTCTTCTCAATGTAGCCTGACTTTTCCCCTTCCACACCTCATTCACACATACCGGTATTCCATCTTACTTCTGTGAATCTCAACTCCCCTTTTTTTCCAGCCGATGCCTCCACCTTTTTGCAAATGTTTCTCCACCTGCTCCCTGCTTTCAATTCAGACCACAGTATCATCTGTGAAGATTCGAAATTCCAGTCAAACCTCATCTGTCATCACGTCCATCACTCTTGCAAAGAGCAGGGGGACTTAGAGCTGATCTCTGATGCAATCCCACCTCCACCTTAAACTCCCCAACTCTCACGCATTTCCTTTTCTTGATCGCCACCCGCTTCTTCCTTGACAATTGCACAATGTTTTTGTGGTTCGGTAAGCCAAAGATTGAATAAAATACAGTCCAGCACAGTCTACGGAGAGCCTCAAAACCGAATGCAGAGTTCCGTTTTTCCGTTGCAGCGCAGTGGTCCCCTTTAATTGATTTCAGACGTGTTGGACAGTGTGTGGCGCGCCTTTGAGACAAGGCATATTTTCTTAGCTGGAAGAAGCTGTTGTAATTATCTTCCAAACTAATTCTCGATTTGTATGTGTACACATAACTTAAAAGTGACAGGAAGCAAATGAAAAAAAAATCATTATTATATCTTAGAGGTGCATTAAATACATCATTGAAGATTTTTCTATTAGAACAGTGTAGTGAAACTGCAGACACATGCAAGTGCCAAACATGAGTAATAACTTTGAATCCATTGTTTTGTTCTCGTATTCATGAAATTGTTTTATTAGTGTGAAATTCATCAGCGTGGGAGATAAGGAGAATGCTGTCAGAAGGAAAATGAAGATTCATAGTGGATAATGACTTTTTTTGTTCTGTTTTGTGTGTCTGGTTGCTCGGTCTGTCTCTCTAGCGCACACCCACACACACACACACGTACACACCCACACACACACACGCACACATACACACACACACACACACACACACACACACACACACACACACGCACACACACACGCACTCCTCTGATGTCCCGAACACTTTCCTCATGATCTGCACCACTATTTCCTTATACGACTCTCTGAAGTCTAATTATTAGTGACAGATGTCATTGGACGTTTAAATAAATGACATGACTTCAAGAACCTTTCCTCTTTCACCTTGGAAAGCGCTGCAGTTCAATGCATAAGCCTCTAATAGTTTGTGAGTTAAGAGTGAATAGGAGAAAATCATTGCTGGCCTTGGAAGTGATAAATAGGCAGGAGGATGACGATGAGGTGAAGGAATCTTCATGTTTCGTGGCACTAAATTAATTTGAGAAAGTCTCTAACAATGGTAACAGAAAAGGTTTTATATTTTCATATTTTACTTTTTATCCCGTTGAAGCCGTCACATCCCATTTTTATTTTAATCTCGTTTTTGAAAACGTTATTGGTTGTAATGCAGAATTTATGGCGAGGGAAATAAAATTAAATACCCTGCAGCCCTGAATTGAATTCAAACATTTTTGTGTATTTCATTCATTTATTTATTTTGGTTCGAAGTCCTTGTGGATTATAAAGACTGCCGAGCAATACAGTGAACTAATGAATAGGGTTATAAAATTAAACAAAATATCCATTTGTATTGAATAAAATAAAACAGAATCGCAAAAGGCAGTAATAGATACTTATGGACAGCGGAATAAAATAGATGAAATGAAATCTATTGTATAAAACAACCTATTTGCTATTTCCGTAGTTTGGGATATGATGGGAAACATGGACGACCGCTCGTGGTTAGATGCGGGTGAGAATGAGAACGGCAAGTTAATGGGAAGGAATGTGAATTAAAGACGATGAGCTGAAAAGACGACATCTACACACGAGGTGCACGGGATTACAAACTGCATCGTTGATTTTTGAGAAAATGTAAGAATTTTTAGTGTCCCATTATGGTCCGAAAAATACGGTAATGGTTGCTATCTTCCAAACATTTGGGAAGGTTTTTTTTTTTTCCATTTCAAAGTCTTTGAATGGGCAAGTTTAAATCAGTAATTAGTCTGCTTCAATAGAAGATGATGATTCATTGCTGCATTCTTAGTAGTTTCTTTATTTCAATATGACGCCCTGGACAAGAGGCGTGTTTGAAAAGCTGCTTTTACATCAGCCATTCAAAAGAACCAAACAAGCAGAATAATAGACATCTTTGGAAAGCCCAAATCTTTTTGAAGTACACAGTAGAGCGAAACCAAGATGGGATAGCGAGTGATCGAAGTCTATTTCACAAAGCTCCACTCTTCAGTTTCTCTTCCTCTGTGCCGCTCTGCGATACCAATTCTAATTTATTCACGTGGCGCCGCTTTTGAAGCATGGCAGAATTAGGAAGACTGGAAGCTGTGAGTCGCATTTATCAGCCGAAGGAGTTAACAACATGCCGGGTGGGATGATAAGAGTGGCTTGCTTCGGCTGCAGAAGTGGGAATATGACGTTAATCTAAACGCAGCAGGGAGTAGCGGTTCATCTCAGTGTATGATAGTGTGAGAAGGAGGCGCAATATTCCATTCAAAGCACCGTGGTTTTCCTGCTTAGATCTGAAAGCCTGGAATGAACCTTGTCGCCTCTGATGGTCCCCGTTGGGCTTTGCTGCTTTTTCCCTTGATAAGGCATGCAAAATCTCATTAAGATGCTTCTGAATTGAAAGAAGCTGGCATACAATAAAAACGGTCACTCTGCAAGTATCTGCAATTACAATTCCTTGCTAAACATTGTGCAGCCTGTCAGTGTCAGTGATAGTTGTGTTTTGGTTTTTATTGCGTTCCAATGAAGTGTGATCGCAAGTTATGGCCAAATTAGTCGGTTTGGTGTTTCAACATGTTTCCTATTCTCTGCAGTCAGCAGTGTGCTGTGTGTATGGGACTAAGGAAGCCCAGTGCAGGGTAGAAATGCAGTTCAATCAACATAAAAGCTCATGCTTGTAATTATATTTCATAAACATTCAAGTTATAGGCCAACTGCCATTTTCTCACATTTTTGATTATTCCCTTCATTCCTATCAACTGGCATTCATTATCCAAATAGAAAGTTGTCAACATTTGCAACCGTATGATACCAATTGGATCTCGTGTAATCATGGTGAACAACGATCAATATTCTTGCTTTTGTAACAGATCTGGGCTCCTTGTAACATAAACGGCATGAGCTAAATAAGATTGACAGAAGGGGAGTGGTCACGCTATGTTGACATGGTGTGCACGAGGCTGAACAGACTTGACGTTGGCTGTCATGTGGGGTGTGAAAGCAGACACTAAGTGGCATGAAAATGAAGTGTTCTTTCTGTAGTTATTCATGTATTTCGCTTTTGTTACTGACACCCTGAACAGGACTAGGCCACACAGCTGTCAACACAATGAGGTCCAGTTCAGAACCATACTAAAACAGTCACTGGTCAATTATTCCTTTTTTTGTTTTCTAGCATTTTGATATGTTCAAATACAAACGCACACACAATGCGGACACCCAAAACCTTGACTCCAATTAGTAGAAAGCAGGCTAGTGATAAACAAACCATGCAGAATTCGTCACATGATGTATAATTACAGCAACCACATAAACAAATTGTGACTCATAGTGTGAGTAGATGTTTCCAAGGAAGCATGCGAGCAAACATTTGGATACAAATTGCATTGAAGTCAAATGACAAATTGAAATGTGAGGAGTTCAAGTGAGCTGAAAGCGATCGGTGTTTTTGAGTATGTGTGCTGAACAATGAGGATTGGACCTCAGCTATTTGCAGAGGTGGACTATTTGAGCTTGAACGCGAATAGAACATTCCAGAGAATAATGGATGCTCCACTAAAGGTGATTGGTTGACTATATTAATGGTTTAACCCTTAATAAAATAGGACGGTACCGTCAACAGTTTCAGGGACAGCGCGGTTACTACAGTGGACAGCTTACCGTGTTATCAGGTGACAGAGTGCATGAAAAGGTTAAAAATACAGGCTAGTAAACACCCAACAGCAGAGCCCGCTTTTCACTCTTGAGTCCATCTTTTGTTCTTGTTTTTCCAGTTGCTATCATGTGTCTAAAATTCAGTGCTTGCCCTTTAAGAAAAAATAACAGCAAAGTCATGATGACAAACTGTTTGGAATTTTTGGGGGCCAAATCGTAGTCAATCGCAAAACGTAGGTTTTCTCATGAAGAACAAAGGTAAGGTTCCCTCCCCCAAAAAATCAGCGAAAAGGTAAATTCGCAGACGCCCTATCACGATTATTCAGGAGCTCCACTGTATATACAAATGCCATCATGAATATTGAGTAGAGAAGTAACCGAAGAGTGTTTAAACAGTGACATGGAGACATAATCGCAATTTAAATATTGATTTCTCTGATCATTTTCGATGCATAATCCAACAGCCGGCACAATTGAAGCTTTTTTTATTTTATTTTATTTTTTTCTATGGATGCTTGTGTAAGTTGAGAGCAAAACAAG